CCGAGCATATTCGGGCGCTCTGGTGGCTATTAGTTTTTTGTTGTTGCGTATGGTTGTGCCATTTCTCTCTCGTTTCTTTGAGATGTCTTCTGTTTTTGAGCCGTGTGAAGTAAGGACGGCTGGCAGTCGGTAACACAACTTATTTTCCCTGTCTCTCCTTTTGCTGCAGCCAAAAACGGCAAAAATGTTGAACATGTTTATGCGGTCCCGGGTGCACGCCACTATCATACAGCGTTTGCTTGTCCTCCAGTATGGCAGATGCCCCGCGAGTTCGAGGCATCGTGACGTCACGTGAGATATCTCTATAGGGACGGAAATCACACTTTTCATGCAGTGTAGGTTGAATCCATACCTACTAGATATTAACATCCAAACAAAAATATGTTACCAAATAATAATGATAATAAAAGAAAACCACTTTTATACTTTCGACCCCAACCAGCTCTTATGTTTATACTTTCCCCCTGACCAAAATTAGTTTGTCAGCCCTGGTCTATAAAATAATATTTCCCTGTTACATAACTGTATTATTTCCTATGACACTGTTTTCTGGCTAATTTTTTGCTCCGTGAAGCTGTGTTCTAAAGTGACCTCTATGTGATGTCGTGAGAACGATAACGTGGTCAGATGAATGAAGCCGAGTGAGAAGAAAGCCCCAAGCAAAAACAACAGTCAGCTCTTAATAAGCGACATAAACTTGTGTGTGTACCTATTTGTGTGTCTGTGTAAATGTATGTCTGTTTCTGTGTGTGCGTATTCATGCCGCAGTAAAAATATGAGGATAAACATGTAACGTCTGTTACAGTGTCCTTATTCATGGCGACTGAGGAGTTTAAAGGGGACGTTCCATGCTTATGGGACTGCATAGGGATTAGGGTGGTCACCTCTAATTGATAAATAGAATTGATAGATAGTGTTGGCCATTTTTTCTGATACAATGCAAAAATAATTTGCAAGCGCCATTTAAAGACCCATACGGCATCTCACATAGGAGGTGGCACTGATGGAAGAAACACTTATTTTTTTCATTTCTTGAAAGTGATCAATGGCTTCTATGTGTTTGATTCTCTGATCTGTTGTTGGCGAATCTATAACTTGGTAAAGTCCTCCAAGATGACTGCTGTTTTAATTTAAGTAAATTGAATTTGTGCAGCCATGTGACTACTCCAGATATCCTCTCAAATGCCATCTCATAATGCAGCCGTGAGTCAGTGGCTTAATCAGTGAAGCATCTTTGATTGGAGGTGCTGCCATTGCTAATGTCCTCCCTGATGTGAAGAAGTCCTCAGATCCCGTGGACAGGAGGTGAGAGGTCTGCAGCAGCGGATGGACAGATGTCTGCTGTAATCAAGCACGCCCTGCTGCACCCAAAGAGCTCTAATGATGCTGTCCATCAGGGAGCAGCCAGGGGAGCACCCGAGAGCGTCTATGGAAGTGCACAAGGGAGCAAAGAGGGAGCGCCCGAGGGAGCATCCAAAGGAGCGCCTGTAGGACGCTCCCTTCTGTGCTCCGAGGGAGTACAGGAGGGAGTGTCACAGGTTATGAACCTATGGCACAAGAGCCAGATGTTGCTGTTGTAATGATTGCGTCTGGCTCTCAGACGCAGTAGGCATGTTTTTGACAGAATGTTTCATGTATTGGATTTTTTCAGTATAAAAAAAGCTCTGTTTCCCAATCATTTTGTAGCCATGGCTTTTTGACAGAAAACACTCACATGGCACACCACCAGCTAAAACTGATACAAACATAAAACATTTCAGCTGTTGGTATGAAAGCAAAGTCATTCTAATCAAAGTAGATATACTGTATATAGATTAAAAATTAAACAAACGCAAAAATTCTTTCTAATCTTCTCACATTATTTTCTTTTCACATTATTTTGACCAATGTAATATTGAAATGTTTCAAAGCACACCAAACAACATCTCAAGGCACACATATGTACCACAGCACACCAAGGCTGCTCTTTGTCACCAGTTCTGTTCAGATGGAGAGTTCTGTCCATAAGTTCTTCAAGAAGAGATGTTCCGCCCAGCATTTTTGCCTCCAATCCCGACTTGAACTATGATCCAGTGTGCATGTACTAAAGACATCTGACGTCTGAACTCCAAATATCTGTAGCAAATTTTAAGATGAACATTCCCTTCGGTAGATTGACACAACGCCATATGCTCCATTTCGTGTTTAGTCCGCAAATGCCAAATCAGATTAGTGGTGTTGAATGTAGCTCTGCTGCTACTACCTCTACCAATCAACATGGTGCATACTTTACATGTTGTTTTTGGGCTGTCCTTTTTTCTATCGTAGCCGAGCTTAAAAGGATTTTTGCAGTTACTGTAAACAACTGCGTCTTCACAACAACAGCTGTAACGACCGCATTTATGCACCATGTTGTATATGCCATTATTAAGGAGCAGAGTCTGCAGATCAGACTGTTGTGGTGACGAGGGAGCTGGGTCGAAAGGAATAGCTCTTGATTTACCGGTCCAGCTTTGTTCCCTCCCTCACCTCTGTCATGGTGTGGATTTTATTTTGGACTTTAGCTTTCTTTTGATATCTATTCTCTGTGCTTTGGTTTTAGTCTGACTTTGACGTCCTGTTTCCCCTGTCTTGATTGTCTACCCCGTCCTAATTTGTTTCACCTGTGTCTCTGTCTGTAATTACCCTGTGCTCCTCTCCTCTTGTTGCTGGTCCATTGTATTGTCTACTTCTGTTCTGTCCTGTTCCTGATTTTGTGCTCCTGGTTCCGTATTTTGGATTTTGAGTTTTGTTTTAACCTTGGACTTTATTTCATTAAATCTTTATTTTGGCATTCTCGCATTTTGAGTCCTCCTCCTTCCCACCTCATGACAACCTCTGGTCATATGCTTTGGGTAATGACAGAAAGGACGAGATCGCGGATATAAGTGTCGAAACGAGCTTCCTCCGTAGAGGCTGGGTTAGGGTTAGGATTAGAGACTTCTGTTTTGGACGCCTCTCTGGTGAGGTTTACCAGGCATGTCCCACCTGGAGGAGGTCAGAGGAAGACCCAGGACACAGAGGGATTATGTCTCTCAGGTGGCCTGGGAACGCCTCAAGATTCCCTCTGGATAAGCAGGAGGAAGTGTATTTGGATAGGGAGGTCTCGGTGCCTCTGCTCAGACTGCTGCCTCCGCAACCCGGCAACGGATCAAGCGGAAGAAAATGGATGGATGGATCTAAACATAGCTCCAGCTCTTTTTTTTAATGTGGGATGTGTAAAAGGCTCCTCTTGTGTTCTGCTGACTCTGGACCCCAGTGCATTCTCCACTTTTAGCGTTGTCTCCTCACATCAAGTATTCCCACAGTTCAGCCGACATCAGCAACAACATGTGCTCAGCAAAGGGACAGAATGTGGACTTTAAGAGCTTTTTACTGTTGTCTGATTTTCCTTCTCACAGTTGAATGTAAGAACCTGTTTCATCTGTCCTTTCCTGCATTTCCGCTCTTCTCATTCGTGCTCAGCTACTGCTCTTGCTTGTCCTACTTCTGTAAGTGCTTGTAATGATTCTCGTTTTTTTCTCTCCCAAAATATGCGTTACAAGGCTTTATTTAACCCATGGTATAAAAGACCGGATCTTCTTAACAAATGATAACATGTTTTCAAATGAGATAATGTGCATGTTGTAGTCTGTCTCTCACCTTGTTCAAATGTGGTGAAGTTTGCACTACTTATGGATTAGAATGATGCAAATAAACTCTCTGGAGGGTGTGATCTCTGTATGAGGCTCAGGGCTGAATTCCACCGTTGAAATGAAATGAAGCAGAGAGTGTAATGAGCTTTGGGAGTGTCAGTGTTTTTGCAGTGTGCTTCAGTGCTTCTTTGAGGAGCTCTCTAAGTGTGGCTTTAGTTAGAGAGAAGGGCAGTTACTGTGTCAGTTATCACAACTGTGTTCAGACCAAAAACCATCTGTCTAAGACCAGTTTTGTCTCCTCTCCTCTCCTCTCATCTGCTCTGCTCTGCCTGATTCGGAGTCTTTCCACCAGCTCTGCTTTACCCAGTATCAGGTCCTTTGTTAGTCCCTTTTGGTCCTGGTTATATCAAGGCTGAGCTTAGATGGTACTAAAGTAATCTTATTGGCAGTTTGTCTGCTGGAAGCCATGGTTACCAAGGCATTTCTCTTGATACTGGATGTTGTGGGTAGGTTCTTAGGATATGGTACAGGATACTAAAGCATAATGGAAATGCATACAGGTAGAGCAGAGGAGTGTACCATTTCCACAAACATGCTTACTTACGCAAGTTGGAGATATACTTTTGATTTTCTCTCAACCGCGTGCCAAGAGTCGGACATCTCTCCCAAAGTTGGCAGCGATAAGTTTCTGTAAGCTCTCAGTCGTACAGGGATTCAAGTTGAAGATTTAAAATCTAAAATCTCCAACTTGTGAACTTTTTCAAGGGAATGAAAGCTCAGCCGCAAGTTGGAAATTTAAAATCTCTAACTTGTGACTGAGCTTTCATTCCCTTGGAAAAGTTATTTGGATGAAGAACGAAGCGTCGGGAAAACCTGCTCACTGAAGTACAGATTATGGGTGAGCAACCTTCCTTTGTTTTGACTAATCCCTGTACGACAGAGAGCTTTCACAAAGTTATTGTGATGCATGAACATTTTAGAATCTCCAAGTGTCTCAAAGAAACATTATATACCTCTGATAATCGCAGAGGGGCCAACGTACAGACTTTAGTGCATTTTTAAACCACTTTTATCATGTTAAAATATATGACATTATATATAATATATATATATATATATATATATATATATATATATATATATATATATGATTTTGTGTTTCCCTTCAGATCCAGTACGTATATTGTATACTACTTGGCAACATGATGGACCCTCACTCACTGCTGCTTTGATTCAAAACTCGAGTGGACGTCTCCTGGTCTCCTGTGATGTCCCGTTTCTCTCGGTGGTTCTGCACACTTCAGCCTGGATGTTAGTGCATGAAGGAGGACCAGAGCAGACTCAGTGATGGCCCGGGGCTATGCAGCACTGCTCCTGCTGTGCCTGCTCTGGGAGTACGGCTGCGAGTTCCATGGCAGGACTAAAGGGAGGAGAGCGGGGAGACACTGGAGAGCCCGGCCCCAGAGGACCAAGCGGGGATGGGTGTGGAACCAGTTCTTTGTGCTGGAGGAGTACATGGGCTCCGAGCCGCAGTACGTCGGAAAGGTAAGAGGCAAAATACACAGTTACTTTTGGGACTGGCGTTTATGTCAGAGTTTTCATTCAATCATTGTTCAGCATCATGTGTCCCCAGGGTCCAAAATCTGCCTATTATTCACTTTAAGACCATGGAGCTTGAAGTGAGTGATAACAAACCTGTGGCATTAACCAATCAGCGTCAAGTTGGCATCACTGAGCACCTACAGCGTCAGATATAGATTGGATTGACATAGTCAGAAAACGAATTGAATTCCTCATTTGTGTAACGTTACAAGTTGTTACAGTTTATTCAACACAACAGCTGAAGGAGGCGAAGATATCGATTTGGTCTTAAACTTGCACGCTGTGAAAAGAGACCGGCCCCCGATGCAAGCAAGCTTTACTCAGCTGTGAACGGCTCTGCACTATTTTGCACAATCGGAATAAAGCCTAAACTGTTGGTTGAGTGAATGAAAGTAGACTAATATAACGCTGTCACTTGATGATTCGTGAAGGTGATGTAACTTCTGTTATTGATCTAAGTGGCATTATGTTCTAAAATAACAAAGAATCGAGTTAGGTGAATATCATAAACAAGCTTTTACTACAACTTGGTTCAATTATTGGGAAGCACGGTGGCTAAGCTTAGCAAGAAGGTCCTGAGTTTGAATGGCAGTTAGAGCCTTTCTGAATGGAGTTTGCATGTTCTCCTGTCTCTATGTAGGTTTCCTCCATGTTTCCCATTTATTGATTTCTATGTCATTACTTTAATGAAACTATCTTTTTATTTAAATGTGAGGAGTTTTGGTCGGGTCTTAGTCTGGTCCTAAACTCAGCTTGGTTTTCCACCAGAAGTTACCAAAGCAATATGTTGTAGCCTTTCGGTAAACTGTCTTGGCAGTTTTTCAATTATATGCACGAGCTGTATCATTTTTTAAAAGTGACAAAAGGCAAACCCAAATAAAACAAAACATTGTTGGGGGAAGTTCGAGTAGTTTCATAGTTCTAGGAGTCCCAGTGGAAGAGGACCATACTTGGATATTTTGCATGTTCACCCAAACCTTGCTGGTGTTTGACACACACCGTTCTGACTCAGCCCATTACGGCACCTGCACCTGAATCTTTTATTGGTCTGAAAGTTTAATGTGGCTGATATGAAAGGCTGGTCAGCGCAGTAGTGTTTCATCAGCTCTGACTGTTGAGTCCACATGCCGTTGTGCACTCACTGCTGAGGACCATCAAAGAGCGGTTACTTCATTACAAAGAACACAGCATCCTCATTAGTCGCTTAGCAGGACACACGGCCAGTGAACTGACTCAGGACATGCAGGAATCTACCACTTAAAACTTAAATAGTGTCACATCCTCTGCCATACTGACGGAACCAAGGCAGCACGTAGAATATTTTCCTTGGATACAAGAGCTGAACGTCAAAAGGGATCAGTGAATCAAACAGTTCGAACACTGCAAATACAATAACAAACGCATAGGAGCCATTGGTCCATAGAGAACAGGATGGCGTTTTTTGACGTTTATTCATTATGAAATTGATACGTGTCATTTTGGTGTCAACGCGCTCGACGCTCCTGACGACTGTTTGGAGGAGCTTCTTTGTTTCCAGTATAGTCCAGAGACAATGGCGGATGTCCAGAGAGCTGCGTGCCTTTAGTTGTTATGTAAAGTCATACATTGTCGTCGGAAGGCTTCTTCACAACGTGTCTGGGTTCACCACAGACTTGAGAGGCTGCAGTGTTTGCTGAGTTTCATCATTTACTCCAAGAGCTTTCAGCGGTATTTCCGCATGTCACTTGTCCAGTTTGACTACCTGCTCACCCGCATCAGATCTTGCATCGCCGGGCCTCTCGGTGCCACTTGAAAATGTATAGTAAATTAGAAAACCCTATTCACTGATGAACTCTAAATACAGGTGAAAACGAAAACTCCATCATGGTTTAAAAGTCTATTCATGTCAACTCAGTGTAAAACTAACATCAGACGCAAAGTGAGAAATATCAAGCAATCATCAAGTGATGATGAAAATGTTGATAATTGGCTCACAGTCTGGTTCAAACATAGCTTAGACCAAGTAAGTACAGGTAGGTCATTCTTTATCTATATATCGTATTTCACAGACCAAGGTCACACAACGTGCTTTTCAATTTCCATGAACCAGAGCCTAATCCAAAACACAGCTTTAGTCATGTCACTCCATGTGTACAGACATCTTCATTATGCTAAAGTTAGAGATTCTATTTTATTATTGTACAGTTATTGTTCACTTATCTTATGTTGTGTGCTCCTCATTCTTACTGTTCTTTAACTGGTAATGCAACACTGACATTTCACTGTGGGACAAATGTAGGATCTCTTCATGGTCGCACCTCTGCTGTAATTACAGGATTCTCTTTGAGCTGGTTTGTTTACGGATCTCATTCCCACGTTGAGTTGTGTTTCATTATGAGGCGTCTGACTAATGCTCCCCTCTGGCACTTGTCCCCACATATTCATCAAATACTCCACAGCGGAGAGAGAAAAGATGGGAGAGAGGAAGGGAGGAGAGGAATAGAGGAGAGGGGAGAAGGGAGGTAAGAGGAGGGAGGGCAAGAAAGAATAGAAAGGGAGGGGAGGAATGAGAGAAGAGAGAAGGGGTTTAGAGTGGGGAGGGGATGAGAGTGGAGCAAGGGAGGAGAGAGGAGAAAGGACGTGAAAAAGAAGAGAGGAGAGGGGGAAATGGTAGAGAAGAAGGGAGGGGAGGTTTTAGCAGGTTGTCAAAGTTCAGTGAATTATGGTGTAGAAGTTGAAAAATCATTCAACTTTGTTAGATTTTGGGCAATATAATGAGTTCTGGATTCTGGACTCATATCAAAGAGCCATTAAAAAGATTGGCTCTTTTTCAATATTGGCTGAATTATTAATGTCTGCAGGTCAATGAAGGTAGAATGCAATTCAGGAATACAAATTGTCTGTATTGTAAACTTTTTTCTTTGTATTTTCTCTCGGCTGCTGCTGATCAAAGCGATTCTGTGGCACTTTGAAACGCTCCATGCTTCCTGATTTTTGTCTCATGAAGTGGAACAAGTCAGTTATACACAGCCTTTCTGATGAATGACCAGTTTGTTTTTCAGGTGAAATACATTTGGTGCTTGATATTAACAAGCTTTATGTTTCTCATAAATCTAGTTTAGTGAAGACGGGTCCTCTTTGAGTAGTATACTGCTTAACGTGGGTACTTCAATCGGAACGGGTTTTATTCAATCTACTTAAATGGAGAAGGGGAAGCAGCCGGTTTCACTTCTCTGTACAGTAAATGCAGTCAGTTGTATGTGTTTTTTAAATAAAGAGTGTATTAATGAACATTCATCTGTAGTTCCAGAGTCACAAACACACAATCAGCCCTCATCTATTGCTCTCGTTCTTACCTAGACAGACACCAGGAGAACATGCAAACAATACACAAAAAAGCCTGGAGGCCTTCTCTACTCTCTTCTCTACTCTGATTGTGTCACTCTGTTAAACTGGTACCAGCTACTCCATGTTACCACAGTATTAGGATTTTTGTATTGTGCTTTCTCTGTGAAAAGATGAGATAAAATAAAACTCAATTGATCTCAGAGTGGAGAAATACATGTTTCATTTTTGCATGAATAGGATCACTCGGAGTGCGTAAACAACAGGACGTAGCTGACTGTTGAGGCAGTTAGGACAGAGTTCCCTAACCACACACTGAAACACCAAAACTGATACAGACATGAAACTGGAGCCTGAAAAAGTCATTCTCAAAGTGCATTATGTAGAAAATCAAACAAGCTCAAATACATCTTCTCACATCACTTTATTCTTACAGGAATAAAATATGTTTTTAACTAAGGATTTACTTTGGCTCAAGCTGCAAACAAGTTCTAAAAGTAAAACATATATATAAAGGCTCTCTCTGTAGTACATCCATTACTTTTTGTTTTAAAATTAATCCTATAAAAAAATTAATCTTATAAAAGTTAAATGTTGGGAACACATCAGACCACAACAGGCTGCCTTCATTTGATGGCAGAAGACAGAGACGAAAGATCCCTGTGAGTCATTAGTCAACATTTTGGGCTTGGATCTGATTGGCTGAGAAAGGCTGGTCCTAATAGAGTTGCTCTCAAGATGTGACAGAGACCATAAACATAAGCTAGTGTTAGGTACACCGGCTTCAAAGTCTGTTCTCTGAGCCACAGGAAGCCAGAGAACAGACTCAGCTGCAGTGTTTGGAGAAACCCACTCCTGACAGCGTTTGGCCCAGACTCAGCTCACGTGAGGGCTCAGGGCTCTGGAGGTGACCCCCCAGGTCCCGCTAATCTCCTGTTGCTGCCAACAACAGGATTTGGCTCGCTCACATTATTCCATTTTAGTTAATGAGTTAATTATCTAGTGTAAATGGTGCTTCTGAATCCCAGTGCTGTCGCTCCCGTAAGCCAAGCCCAAACAATCGGCTCAATGTCATCGTGAAGATGTGATTAAACAGAGAAATGTAGTACAGAGGGATTTATCCGATCCTGCAGTCAGAAACCTGTGGGGGAAATAATTGAAAAGTCACTTCAGGGGCTGCGTGGCGGGCGTCACTGCGGAGCAATATTAAAAACATATCCATTCATACAACACGTCTGTGGACATTTAAAGACACTTCACATGATATAATTCTTTCACTCCAAAGACAGTAGTGATAAACTACTATTGTAGCCACAGCTGCCCTGAGGCACACTGACCGAGACCAGGCAGCCAGTCTCTGCATTCAGCCCCTCATTCTAATGTGGGTGAAGTGTCTTGCCTAAGGACAAAACCACAGTTTGGCTCTTTACAGCCGGAGCCGCCCCATTGTGACACTTGGTTCTACTGTGATAGGAGACTTATGGGAACACCAAGTAGAGCTGTATAGAGGATGGCCAAGTAGAACTGGTGGAAACAGGGATTTAGATTTAAGTGTTTAATGTTGAGTCTTTCTTCCAAGGTTCCTGATTGCGTGGCACGCAAGCTGCATAACGTCTGTGTCTTGTAGGTCAGCCCAATAATAAGATAGACCATACTAGAACTCCAAATGTATTCAAATGTATTCTATGCTTTCCTCCTAGAGCTATTTGCTATTTCACAAATCCATGAATGAGATTCTTTGGTAAAGAGAATTCAAACCAAACACCTGGTCATTCTACGGACTGAGAGCCAACCCTAAGACACCAGCTACTGTATATAAGTATGTGTATGCATAAAATTGAAATATGCCCTTTGTGGGACCTTCTTCTTCTTAATGTAGTGAAATAAAATAAAAAAACAACTCCAGCAAAACCAAAATGACAGGACTAAAGTTACACACAGAGGAAAGATGACAGGACAGGACCAGAGAGGACAGGACAATGCAGGAAACTTAAATTATAAATGGCTATAGTGACACACCATGACATAAAGCAGTGGTCCCTAATCGTTGTTGCCCTGTGGTCCGCTCTCGCCAGCGCAGACAAGGGCACAAGTACCACCTGCTGTTAAGGGGAAAAACATTGAGATATCCCAGGGGTCAAACACAGGGTTTTCTACATCAACATTGCCAGTTCAATTTGGAGAGACATGAAACAAGAAGCTTTGAGTATTTTATTGGGAGGAGGTTTGGCGCCCTAGGCCCCGGTGCGGCCTTCGGATCGGAGGGCCTCCATGCGAAGGAGCGAGCCAATCCCCCGGGACCTAGGCACTGGTGGCGGCATTTGCAGCGGGAACCAGATTGAAGGCAGAATGAAGGCAGGGTGAAGAGGAGGAGGAGGCGAGGCGGTGGTTGCAGGCTTCGAGAAGGCCGAGAATGGGAGTTCCTCCGCTTTTAAGCAGCTTGCCTGGCTGGACCGGTGATTGGAAGGGGGCGTTTGCCGTGCGATAGGCTGGGGATGAGAACCGGCCTGGAGGGGTTACCTTTGGCTGACGTCTACCAAATTGAACTTTCGCTGGCTGCATTTACAATATGAGCAGAACCATATTTTTTCTTCTTTTCCTGTCCAGAGACGTGATTTAAAAGGGGCTTGCAGTCCAATTGAGAGGGATTTAAACAGAGCCTGCAGGCCCCGTGAGGGATTAAAACTGAGCACGCAGTCCAACGTGAGGGATTAAACTGAGATCTTGCAGTCCAATGTGAGGAATAACGGAGCTTGCAGTCAGAGTGAAGGATTTAACGGAGCTTGGTTAAGAGAGCCTGCAGAACATGCGAGGGCTTTAAAAATGAAGCTGGCACACCAATGCACGGGGCCAACTGAGCCTCTAGTACAATGCGAGGGGAATAAACCGTCCGCAGGTCTCATACTTACCCACAACGCCAGAAGACAAGGGACAACACGACGGGACCACGCCGTACCGGCACGAGGAGGCAGGGATGCGCACGGCTCCCACCGCACCGGTCCAGACCGGCCGTATGCAGCAGCAGCAGGCCGCGACGAGACGAGCAGCGGCGGACCCGCAGAAAGAGCCCGCAAAGGAGGAGAGCGGCAAAGACCCACGGACCACAGCACGAGACCCGCAGCAGGTGCAGCGACGCGGAGGAGGAGCGGACCACACGCAGCAAGACAGAGGACAGCAGGGACACATGCAACGAGTAAGCGTGAGTAGACAAGCGATTCCTCCAGAACGGTTCTATGCAGGCTTCGAGAAGGCCGAGAATGGGAGTTCCTCCGCTTTTAAGCAGCTTGCCTGGCTGGACCGGTGATTGGAAGGGGGCGTTTGCCGTGCGATAGGCTGGGGATGAGAACCGGCCTGGAGGGGTTACCTTTGGCTGACGTCTACCAAATTGAACTTTCGCTGGCTGCATTACAACACTGGCACTATGTATTCTGTTCTATTTGTGCTGTTAATTAACCTGACTTTAGAGGATTTGATTTCCTTCTGTATTTAACTTCTCATTATTATTTGTTTGGACTAAATTACATGTTTTTATGGTTTTCTTGGTTAAATTAGCTTTAAAATTATGTAAAACATGTCAGAGTATCCCAATTAAACCTCTAACTAGCAATGTTTTCTTGTTCTGAAAATCATTTCAAGACACATGCACTAGTGAATAAGTCTTGCATCTGTTCAAACTAAAATCAAATGATAGAAAAGCGTGTGTTGGTTGCGTGCTTTCATATCCTCCTCACCTCCTGAACGTGCTGCCTCATTTGCACTTTTAGCCCAGAGTGAGTTCACGTGCGCAGACCTCTGATTGGAGATACTGCTTGATTATCACAGCGGGTGGGAGTTGAATTCACGTGAGCTTTTACTCCAGGAGCCAAGGCTTATGGGAGTGTGAGGGAAGGTCAACATATTACCCTTAAATCAGGATTAATGACGGCTTTAGACGACCTGCTAATGCGTGTATGGGAGACAGAGAGAACCCGCTGATGCATGTATGAGGAATAGAGAGGCCCTGCTAATGCCTGTAGAGGAATAGAGAGGACCTGCCAATATGCATTTCCTTGATTTAGAATGTGAAATTGTTAAGTACAAAAGTTGTGGATGATACAAAAAATTGAGTGAGAAACAGTGCTCCCATCTAGAAAGATATTGATAATGCATTGGTTTCATACTATTCTCATTCTAGGAAAAATGGGTGTGTCTTGCCTAAGGGCACTACAGTTTGCCACTAGACAGCCACCCCACTGTGTCACTTGGTCCTCTCTGACTTCTCCCATCACAGTGCTACCCAGTTTCTGCCCTGCTAAGCTTCTGAGGTTTGGCCAGATCAGGGTTTTTGATTCAGGTTGCACCACAAGTAATTGGAAATTGAGGCTCATGAGGCTGGCAGAGTTGCGTGATTGGCTGGCCCTCGGTGGGGTGAGAGCTGCGGCAGTGGTCTTCTCAGTCTGAATTTGCGCTGAGTTTTATTGTATTTTTCATTTTTTGGTTAAACAGGATTACATTCTGCTGGGAGTACGCTGAAGCAAAAAGCTCATGAGCCCCACCCTCAAACTCAAGACAATCAAACTTTTCATATGGGCTGAGAACCCAGAGCCCAGGGTTCGAATTCCAGTTGTAACAGCACCTTTCTGAGTGGAGTTTGCATGTTCTCCCAGTGTCTCCTTCGGTTTCCTCTACCACCAAAAAAATAAATAATAGGTCAGACATGTGCCTCCTGTACTGGCGTCGCTCCCATCTCTGTGTTGAATGAGAGAGAAATGCCCAGAACAATATTGTAAAGCACTTTGACTCTGGTCTGTGAAAGGGGCAACTGTCATGGTTTAGGTTTATTTCCTGTTTTATTTTGTAGTTTGTTAAATCCCTGTGTATTCTTTGGTTGTGCTTCCTGTCTGATGACCTGCCCTGCCCTCATCTGTATCACCTGTGTTTCGTTAGTCTTGTATTTAGCCCTGTGTGTTCCTTCACTCCCTGATCCGTCATTGTCATTCCTCGTCTGTTTCAGCTCTCTCCTCAGTCCATGTGTTTTTGCTAGATCTTGTTTTTGTATACCTTTTTAGGAAATCACTTATTTTGCAGTTTTGCATTTTGGGTCTCGTTTAATTTTACCCACGTGACAGCTTTAGAGATAAAGAATACTTAAAAGTACAAATAATCCAGGGTGTAGAGTGGACTGGTTCCTCCACACCAACAGACCCTACCCATCTGCCCTACGCCCTCTCAGCTGCTTGTGTAGATGAATCAGAATCCTTTATGAATGACTAGTTGATGGAGTTTGTTTCCTTTACTGCCTTTTGCATTGTATTAACTGTGTATGAACAGTGCAATACAAATACACTAGCCTTGCCATGTATACTGAGACAGGAGGGGCAATAGGAATGACAACGTTCATCTGTCATGGAGCTTCAATGCAGAAGAGGCCATTTGAACATGAGCTTGAGCCACTTTCCATATTTTTATATGGGCATCTCTTCCAACAATTTTTGCTCTGTGCCGTAACTGGGGCAGACGTGTTGGTCAATCCTTATAAGGCTCATATCTGGATTCACAAAGATAATTTCACAATATAAATATACACCAGGATCACAGACTGAGTGTGATACAAACAGTAACTGAGCTTTGACTGAGCCTTTTCCATGTGAGTCAAAAGGAGTCAAGGAGTGGAGCCATAAGAACTCTATTTATTAGAAATCTATTTATTGAGCCAGCGGGTTAGCATTTTCTATCTTTATACAGTCTATGGTACCACTTTAGAGGAGGCGCAGGCATGTTCTGTCTTCTTTAACACGCCATGATGCCATCCGCTTGCAATAGTGGTTTTACACACCTTTATGAGAGTTTGAGGTAGATTTGAGCAGCAAGTGTGTTCCTCTGGGGCCACGGTAGCTCTACAGACAGAGAAGAGCTTGACAGGTGTCAGCTTGTCCTTCAGCTGTCAACGTCACCAATGGGAACTGTGCAAGAAAACACCTGCAGACCTGCTATTTTTACTCTACTTTTACACATTATAAAAACATGAAATATGCAAGATTACCTCTATTTTGGCTTGGATCAAGTTAGAAGTGACTGTCAGTGTGTCAGACCACTCCTGTCTCAGTATACATGGCAAGGCTAGTTTATTTGTATTGCACTGTTCATACACAGTTAATACACAAGAAATTCAAATAATTGTTAATCACAGTATTAAGAGTAAAGGTAAACCCTCCAGTTGTTAAAGCAAAACAGAACAGTTTTAACCTGGATTTGAACATTGTCAGAGTACAAATCTGTCTCACATTTTCAGGAAGACTTCTAGATTTTTAGCCGCATAAATCTGAATTGCTGCCTCTCCATGTTTAGTCCTGACTCTGGGCACCAGCAGGAGGCCAGTCCCTGTGCTTCTCATAGTCCCAGCAGGGACCAGTCCCTGTGCTTCTCAGAGTCCCAGCATGGGGCCATGTCATAGATGTACTTTGGTGTGAGGTCATGGATAGACTTGTTGTTGCTGCTTTAAAGTCTATTCTCTGAGCCACAGTAAGCCAGTGCTGAGACCTGAGACCAGAACTAATATGATCGTACTTTCAGGACTCAAGCTGAAGCGTTTTAAATATACAGCAGCTGTTTTACAGCTCGTTTGGAGAAACTAGTGAGCAGCTGTTACAGTAATCTATCACTGGACATGCAGGAGAAGAATCTCCATGTCTGTTTCAGACACTTTACTTGTGACATACATGTTTAAAACGCTCTTGTCTCAGTCCAAATGCTGATAGTGGTTGACATTGTCCACATTGGTTACACGGTCGGGCACATACTTCATTCATCAGGTGAATGTGACCTTTCTCAGACTCGGCCTTCTCTCAGCGAGGGTCTGCGTGGACTGCAAACACTGCCCACTGCCATCGGTCACCAGCAGAGCAGAGCAGCCCAGAGCAAAGCAGAGCAGAGAAGCTCAGAGCAGAGCATCCCAGAGCAGAGCAAGCCAGAGCAGCCTAGAGCAGAGCAGCCTAGAGCAGAGCAGCCTAGAGCAGAGCAGCCTAGAGCAGAGCAGCCAAGAGCAGAGCAGCCCAGAGCAGAGTTAAGCAGAGCAGGGCGAGCAGAGGGGGCTCTGTGCCACATACATATTCACCAGGTTCTGACCAGGGATGTAATTCCGGACACGTGCAGACCTTTTCACATGGAATTTACAGACGCAGAGGAAAACGACTTTCAGACGCTTGGAACCTGAAGTGTGATTTAATACAAGGGGAAAGGAAGAAATCATGCAACCTTCTTTGTGAACTATGTTTTCTGAAGTCAAAAGGGTAAATGCATAGGGAGACCACACACCTGACCCAAGTGTGTGGCAGTTTCAGTAAATTATGACACATAATTTTTTGATATGATTTTAATGTTAGATTAAACTAACCATATCTAAAGTTTACATTTTAAATCACATCTATCGCAGGATATTAAAAACACTTCAGCTCGAGTGTTTTATTTGCTGAAAACCAGCAAATCCAGTTCTTAGGTTTCTGTACTGGCTTCCTGTGGCTCAGAAACATAAAAGCCTCTCATGGCCTCGCCCCAAAGTACCGCTGTGACATGTTAGTGCCATAAGAACCAACTCTGAGGAGCACAAGGACTGGCCTCCTGTTGGAACTCTGTGTTTAACAAACTTTCAAAAAAAAAAAAAGTTTTTGCTGTATTTTAAACTAATATTAGCCATTTTTAGCACCTATTCAAAGTGATTAGAGGTTAATGAATGACTTATTGTAACAAACAGTTTTAATGGCAACAATTCAATCTGAAGAGACCAAGACAGAAATATTTATGCATGAAAAATATTTTTTTGATTGGCGCATTGAACCCGGCAGTGACACTTGCAGGGGGGAGATTGTCTGCTGCTGTAGATGATCTCGGATCCCCCGTGGTCAAGCACTGGTAGTGGCTAGAAGCATGGTGTGAATGGGGTGCAGGCGGAGCAGGAGCCAGGGCAGGAACCAGGGCAGGAGACAGAGCGGAAACCAGAGTAGGAACCAGGAGCTGAGGAGGCGCTGGGGAGGTGGTGGGTGTTAAAGACCTTATGACGGGTTTTAAAAAAAAAATTGTGGATATCAAAATTGCATGACAATGTCAATTCGAAACAGATTCCGGCAAAAAAAATCCTATATTTTATAAAAAGAACGTGTTTTTCATGAATTTAAGTTGTCTATGCTCTAACCTGTGTGTGACGTCATAGCGGGTTACGCCCATGCATTGAAAACCATGGATCTATGCCACAGGACTGCCTTTTCTCTCTTCTCTCCACTGATGCCCAACACAATACTGCACTCTACAGGTGACAATTGCTCACTACACATAAATTGCCGTTTTGAGTGTGAAAAAGTGTCTTAGGTGAGATTTGAACCCAAGTATCTGGATTGGCAGTCCGTCGACACAACCACTGGACTATCTCAGTGACAACGAAATGATACATTCTAGTAGTTATCTTAGACTCGCTGTACACGGCCTTGTCATCTTGAATATCCGCGAAAAAAGAACGAATACCAAATTGTAAACAACTTACAGCATTGAAACGTACCCGTTCTGACGTCACCAAGGGCTGTGAAGTTTTTTCGTTTCTAAGGGCGTTGCTATGGGGTTATTTCGATTTGGGGGGATCAGACAAAAAAAACAACAACTGATTTTGAAACCTTTAGTAGTTCTCTTCTAATATAAAATGGTATTAAAACTGTATTTCTAAATAAATCAAACCCGTCATAAGGTCTTTAAGAGCTTCAGGAAGCACTGTTTATCGGGGAGTGGCTGCTTTTAAAATGCCCGCTTTGCTGTCAGTGGGTTGTCAAGGGGCTGGCCGGGTTGTGCGATTGGCGGGGCTCGAGAGGCCGGCAGAGTTGTATGATTGGCAGGCCCTGGACGGGAGAGAGCCGAGGCCGGTCTTTCAGTCTGAATTTGCGCTTTCGTGTGCAGAGGTGCAGGGTTGTGATTCATATGTTACTTAGCATGTTACGTGCAGGGTTATTTATAGCTGTGAAAATGTATTGCGCCTTTAGCCCCAAGGTTTTTCACAGCCGTGTGTTTTAAATATATCTTTTACAAAACAAATTCTACATTTTGTGTAGTTATTATTAGATTAACTACAAAACAACAAGTCATTTCACAAAAATGACTATATGTTTATTAAAGTGGTTCTCACCCCCGCTCCTCGGAGCTTACGTTACTCACATTTCCTGTTCAAATCTTCCTCTAAATGGGCGTAGCCTGGAGGACTAAAGGGGGCGTGAACGAGACTGGGCCGTTTACATTGCTCTGGGCGGGGGGCTGCTGACGTCAGGTCTTGCTTCAGACGTCAGGTCTTGCTGCCGCGCCAGTGTTGGCGCCAGATTCAAAATTCAAATGTAGTAATACAGGTCGCCAGCAGATGGCGCCTCACAGACGGTTTTAGGCAGAAAGTTTAACTTTCAACTAATTTGCACCAAAGTGACAAGATTATGACCAGGATATGTAGACAACACTATTGGACACTCATTTATACCGTTTATCAGCAAAAAAAAGTGGATTTGAGGGTGAGTTGTCCTTTAAGGGCCGACAATAAAACAAGTTTTTTGTTTCATCCTTGTGTCATCCTCAAATACAATACAATACAATACAATTTATTCTTGTATAGCCCTAGGTCACAACAGAAGTCATCTCAGAGGACTTAACAAAACCATTGAAATCACCAACACAGGTCAGAGAATCAACAGTTAAAACACATGAAGAATATAAAGCACACACAGAAGAAAATGTCCATACATGTTGTAGAATGCTAAAGTGTCCTGATCATCACCAATCCTTTCTGTTGGACACTAACTGTCCAACAAGACCCTCCTGCATCGACAAGGAAAAACTCTTAAAAAAACCCAGTGGGAAAAAGTGAGAAACCTTGGAGGAGCACTAGGGAAACCCACAGGGAGGGAGACCCATATGAGAAAGGGATCCGCTCCTCCGGACGGACAGGCTAATGATCTAGGACCTAAGCTAGCTACAGAACGTGGACCAGTGGCCGCTGAACGTGGACAGGTCCGGTGCAGGACCGAAGCACTCCCAGGCGGGTCGGGCGGGGCAGTCCGCAGGTGTAGATGGAAGAGGCCAGGCTCAGAGATCCCGTCATCGTACCATGAAACAGACAATGGGACAACGGGTGAATGGCAATGAACAAACTACAGTCAGAATCCTAAAAATGCTAAACAGATAAAGTAGGAAGGAGGAGAGGATAGTGCTCAAGTTACCATACTTCTCCCAGCAAACTGACTCCCTATGCAGCTTGACTGACACTCTGAGGAGTTTAACCTTCTCAGAGTCTGACCTTCCTAGCCATATGCTAAACTAAAGAGGACTGTTTTAAACCTAGCCTTGAATAAAGAATAACATACAGCATAATATATAACATAATATACAACATAACACAATACATTATTGAATAATATATAACATAATATATAACATAATACAGCATATATATATAATATATACACTACATATTATATATTACCTAGTTAAATTAATTAATTAATTAATTAATTAGCTAAATTAAAGTAAAGTGCTTTAAGCCTGGCCTTGAATGTGGAGACCGTATCTGCTTCCTTAACATAAATGGGAAGCTGATTCCACAGTAAAGGAGCTTGGTAGCTAAATGCTCTGCCACCAACAGTGACCTTTGAGACCTTAGGGACCACCAGACGTCTGGCGTTTTGTGAGCGCAACGCTCGACCTGGTTGATACGACACTAACGTGTCTTGGAGATAAGAGGGAGCCAAGCCATTTATGGCTTTATATGTTAAGAGTAGGATTTTAAACTTTATTCTGTACTCCACAGGGAGCCAGTGGAGTGATTTTAACACCGGAGTTATGTGCTCCCTCCTTTTGGTACCTGTTAAGATCCTAGCTGCTGTATTCTGAACGAGCTGGAAGCTCTTCAAAGAGGCTTTAGGGCACGCTGCCAGTAAAGCGTTACAGTAGTCGAGCCTTGAGGTGACAAACGCGTGAATGAGTTTTTCCGCGTCACTTTTAGGAAGGAAATGCCTAATTTTAGCGATGTTCCGTAAGTGGAAGTACGCCGTTTTAGTTGCTTGGCTTATATAAGCCTTGAAGGAGAGTTCTTGGTCAAAAATGACTCCAAGATTCCTCACAGTGTTACTGGGTATTATACTGACATTATCGAGAGTAACCATCTGGTTAGTGAGGGAGTCACGCAGGCGCTTCGGACCGAGTAGGATCACTTCTGTCTTCTCCGGGTTGAGAAGTAGGAAGTTAAGAGTCATCCACATTTTAAGGTCCTTTATGCAGGCACTGAGCTTTTCTAGCTGATCTGTCTGGTTAGGCTTCATCGACAGATAAAGCTGTGTGTCATCTGCATAGCAGTGGAAATTAATTCCATGCTTTTTAATAATGTTTCCTAACGGCAGCATGTAGAGAGTAAAAAGAATCGGTCCGAGTACCGAACCCTGCGGCACACCGAATTCCACTCCAGAATGAGGCGACGAGTCCTGATTCACATTGACGAAGTGATATCGATCTGATAAATAGGATTTAAACCAGCCAAGGGCTGTTCCTCTAAGACCTATATCACATTCTAGCCTCTGCAGTAGAATGCTGTGGTCTATTGTGTCAAATGCAGCACTAAGGTCCAGTAGGACCAGCACTGACACTTGTCCATTATCGGCAGCTAGTAGTAAGTCATTTGTGACTTTGACTAGTGCCGTTTCAGTGCTATGATGAGCTCTGAATCCTGATTGAAAGACTTCAAACATATTATTTTCCTGCAGGTGGCAGCGGAGCTGCTCAGCTATAAGTTTTTCCAGGATTTTAGATATAAAAGTGAGGTTTGAGATCGATCTGTAGTTTGTAAGTATTTCTGGGTCCAGGTTTGTTTTCTTCAGAAGGGGTTTGATTACCGCGGTTTTAAAAGCTTGTGGGACATAGCCACATTGTATGGATGCGTTTATTATATTTACGATAGGCTCAATTATCAAAGGAAGTATGTCTTTGAAGAGCCATGTCGGGACTGCGTCTAACATGCAAGTTGAGGCTTTTGAGGATGTGACCACAGAGATCACCTCTGCTTGGCTCACAGCCATGAATTTATCGAGGCCCACTGAAGAGTCTAAGTGGGAAGTCACGTATGCCGCTTCAGCCTGTCCACTACCAACAGCAGGAGTAACCTCCTCCAGTTTGTCACGGATGGATGTAATTTTATTATTAAAG